CCCTGACCTCCACACACACCCTGACCTCCACACACTCCCTGACCTCCATACAGACCTGACCTCCACACAGACATGACCTCCACACACTCCCTGACCTCCACACACTCCCTGACCTCCATACAGACCTGACCTCCACACACACCCTGACCTCCACACACTCCCTGACCTCCACAAACCCCTGACCTCCACACACACCCTGACCTCCACACACACTCTGACCTCCACACACTCCCTGACCTCCACACAGACCTGACCTCCACATACCCCTGACCTCCACACACACCCTGACCTCCACACACACTCTGACCTCCACACACCTGACCTCCACACACCCCCTGACCTCCACACACCCCCTGACCTCCACACACACCCTGACCTCCACACACCCCCTGACCTCCACACAGACCTGACCTCCACACAGACCTGACCTCCACACACCCCCTGACCTCCACACACACCCTGACCTCCACACAGACCTGACCCCCACACAGACCTGACCTCCACACACACCCTGACCTCCACACAGACCTGACCCCCACACAGACCTGACCTCCACACACCCCCTGACCTCCACACACACCCTGACCTCCACACACACCCTGACCTCCACACACCCCTGACCTCCACACACACCCTGACCTCCACACACCCCCTGACCTCCACACACCCCCTGACCTCCACACAGACCTGACCTCCACACACACCCTGACCTCCACACACACCCTGACCTCCACACACCCCCTGACCTCCACACATCCCCTGACCTCCACACAGACCTGATCTCCACACAGACCTGACCTCCACACACACCCTGACCTCCACACACACCCTGACCTCCACACACACTCTGACCTCCACACACCCCTGACCTCCACACACACCCTGACCTCCACACACACTCTGACCTCCACACACCCCTGACCTCCACACACACCCTGACCTCCACACACCCCTGACCTCCACACAGACCTGATCTCTGCATAGCCCTGACCTCCACACACACCCTGACCTCCACACACACCCTGTCCTCCACACACACTCTGACCTCCATACAGACCTGATCTCTGCATAGCCCTGACATCCACACAGACCCCCACGCAGACCTGACCTCCACATGGCCCTGACCTCCTGGGCCTCAGACAGTTCATGTGCTCCACCAGGCTCTTCCCCCACCCTGGGTCCATTCCTGGCCCTGCATTATGCCCCTGACAGGGTCTTTTGAGCGCTCTGTCCGCTTTTTTCTTTTTTGTCGGTCCCGGAGCCCTAACTCTGGGCCTGGGCGCTGTCCCTCAGCTCTTCAGCGCAAGGCTAGCACTCTATCACTGAGCCACAGTGCCACTTCTGGCTTTTTCTGCTTATGTGGTGCTGAGGAATCGAACCCAGGGCCTCATGCATGTGAGGCAAGCGCTCTACCACTGAGCCACCTTCCCAGCCCGTCCTCTATTTTACACCGGTTCAGGCCTGGCACACTTGGCCCTTCTGGGACACCAGGCCCCAGGAAGACAAGCAGAGGCTGAGGCTCGGGCCTGCCCCAACATGGATGGTTATCGCCCATCCTTGCTTTCCTTGAGCCTGTGTACATGGTGGAAGCTTTCAGAAAATACACTGGTGGCCAGGGTCTGCCGGTTACCACAGGAGCACAAGGCTAGGAAATCGGGGTGGCTGCTCTGGGGTTAGTGGAGCCTGCAGTCCTCCTCCCTGGGAGCAGCGGGGGGTTGGGGGCACTGCCATGGCCTGCGCTGCCCCTCCCCCGCAGACGGCCCCTCTGCAGCTGGGTCTGCCTTCCCACCAGCCAAGGCAGCCCAGCGGGATGGGGCCTCCTCCCCATGCTGCTCGCTGCGGCTGTGATGGCGCCTCGGGGCAGCCTGATCACCGGACCCCGGAGCCCTGCACGGCGGCCAGCTCTGGGGCTGCCAGTGGCTCCCGGGTCAGTGGGCGGGGGCCGTCCTCGCTCCCTATGACACCCTGGCCCGCACCTTTGTGCCTAGGGGGTGGCCAGGTTTCCTCAGTCACGTGCTCCTGAGAACGCCTCCCTCCCCCAGGCGGAGGCCTGACGCCTGGGCCCCCCCAAACCCCAACACATGGCGGCAGGACAAACCACTGCAGGACACAGCGCTCACACTCAAGGCCACGGACGCTCAACTCGCAGGGAGCCCCGGCTCATGCCTGTGACCACAGCCGCACAGCCTGCCCCAGACACTCCTCTGTGGCAGCCCAGCAGCGAGAGAACCTGCTGGCCCCAACCACAGAAGCCAGAGCTCCGCGCACGCCACAGGCCCTCACAGTATCTCACGATTTAACTCTTTGGGCGCGAGGACTCACAGGATCCCGGAGACTCAAAGACCCCGGGGGCCCCCAGCCTGCCGCCAGCATCCCTCCAGCAGGGAGACCATCACGTAGTCTGGCGAGCTCAGATACGGCACACACCTACGTCACCCTGGCAGACTTCCCTTCCAGAATATAAGTTCCAGGATTCCAGGATAGCAGGGTTCAAACTTCAAGACAGGGCCCTGGCACGCTCGGCCTGGGGCATAGTGCCTTGCACTGTTGACTTAAAGCATAAATTGGTAGACAAAAAGCTGATTTTGTTGTTGTTGTTTTGGTTGTGGGGCTTGAACTCAGGGCCTGGGCACTGTCCCTGAGCTTTTTTGCTCAAGGCTAGCAGAGCTCTATCACTTTGATTCACAGCTCCACTTCCGGTTTTCTAGGGGTTCACTGGAGATAGGCGTCCTGCCTGGGCTGGCTTCTAACCACAATCCTCAGATCTCAGCAGCCTGAGGTCACAGCTAGGATCACAGGCAGGAGCCACCAGCCCAGCTGGACAAAGAGGCCTAACATGCCAGTGTCTGCCCCCCACCCCCCGTACTCAGCCACACAGCCCACCCCCCACCTCCAGGCCGCCCTGCCCAGGGCCCTGACTTACCACCCCCCACCACAGCGCGTCTGCGTAGCTGCCGAACTCGACCCGGCCCGACTCGTTCACGGCGTCCTTCTCAGCCAGGTACACGAAGTAAGAGGAGAAGATGAGGCCCAGGAAGCCGATGTACAAGGTGGTGATCAGCTCCTAGGCCGGCAGAGGAGACTGCGTCAGCCATGCCACACAAGGGCCTCCGGGCCACAGTCACCTCCGGCAGAGGGGACCGCGTCAGCCACGCCACACACGGGCCTCCGGCCCACAGTCACCGCAGCCAGGGAGCTGCCTTGGTGGTAAGCTCCAGCCTTTTCCAGATCATTCCATGTCAACTCCAGCCTGTTTCCCACGTGGACACAGACTCCAGATAACCTACTTTGCACAACTTCCCCCCCCCCGCAGCAGGTTTTGGGGTCTTCTCTCAGTGAGGCTGTTCCCGGCTCTCCCCTTGGACCAGCGCTCCCCTCCCCTGCCCCCCACCCTTCCCCTCCCAGGCTTGGCCAGGTCCCTTGCGTGGCCTCTGGGAGCTAAGGGAAAGGTCTGTGGTTCTTGTCCTCACTCTGGTCCTCCCCTGGCCTGCCTTCAGACTTCTGAGCCTTCTCCGTGTTTCAGGAGCCCCTCCGGTCTGGAGTCCCTGCCCCCCACCCCCCGCCCCAGCCAGGCTGGCACCATGGGTGAAAACTGGAGCCATCTCTGTCCGTCTCGCGGGGAGGGCCTGGAATCAGTGCCCTGGCACACACGTGGCCCTGCCGCCCGCCTGGGGCCCCGCGCTCCCACCTCAGGCACCCACCTGGCGGTGGATGAAGACCACGGAGCCCAGCAGCCTCCAGGTGCCCCCCTGGCGGTCCACGTGCAGCATCCGCAGGATCTGCAGGAAGCGAATGCCCCTGGGGGGACGCGGGGTACGGTGAGGCCACGGGCCGCGCGCAGCACCCCTCTGGCGAACCAGCCGTGCCAGGCCTTCGTCTCCTGGAGAGATGTGTGAATGCCCCTCTGCTCCCGGCCCCGGCCCCCCACGGCAGCCCCTCTCGGCTGGCTCCACGGGTCATTCCAAAGGCACCAGGCCGAGGGCCGCTGCCGGGTCTTCAGCCCCTCCCTCTCCCCCTGGGGGAGGCCCAACACATCCATCTTTCAGATGAGCAGACCGGACTCAAATGGTAGGGTTGCCACAGAGTGTAGGAAGGAATGAAGCTCTGGGCAGAACTTGAACCCAGGGCAGCCGGATGTATACAGGGCCCAGCACCAGGCCCACGGGCTGCTTCCCTGGCTCGGCTCTGCCTGTCGCACCCACAGAGAGCCTGACAAAGCCAGGCAGACGGCGGGGCAGACCCCCCACCGCTGGCAGCAGAAGGGGTGCCCCTGGGAGCCTCAAAGCCCGGACGTACCTGATGGCTGACGTGGCGAACACCTGCCCTTTGGAGCCCACACACAGGACGACCATGGAGGCCACGACCACGATGAGGTCTGGGAGGAAACAGCCCAGGTCAGGACCTCCAGCCCTCTGGGCACCAAGAGCCGTCGCCACGCCGGGCGGTGCTGGGAATGCGGGGAGGCTGGGAGGTGCCCGGCTGCCACTGGCTCCAAGGCCGGGGGCCGGGGGTTCAGCCCCATGGCGGGCAGACGCAGCAGTCGAGGCTCCCTCGGTACCTGGGGTAGTCTGATGGTGCTTGTGTTTGGGGGTCCCTCGGTACCTGGGGTAGTCCGATGGTGCTTGTGTTTGGGGGTCCCTCGGTACCTGGGGTAGTCCGATGGTGCTTGTGTTTGGGGGTCCCTCGGTACCTGGGGTAGTCCGATGGTGCTTGTGTTTGGGGGTCCCTCGGTACCTGGGGTAGTCCGATGGTGCTTGTGTTTGGGGGTCCCTCGGTACCTGGGGTAGTCTGATGGTGCTTGTGTTTGGGGGTCCCTCAGTACCTGGGGTAGTCTGATGGTGCTTGTGTTTGGGGGTCCCTCGGTACCTGGGGTAGTCTGATGGTGCTTGTGTTTGGGGGGACTCCCTGGCCCGTGGCGGGTGACTCACCGATGATGGAAATGGGCTTCCGGGCAAAGCGCAGCCGGCCCCAGATGCCCACATACTTGCTGCGGCAGCCTGCAGACCAGAGGCGGACCACATACTCCGTTCCAAAGAACACCACCAGGACGATTTCCTGAGGAAGAGGGCAGCAGGCTTACCCCACAGGCCCGGGACCTGGGCAGCTCCCCAGGGTGGCCTGGGGGACAGGTGGCACCCAGTGGCACCTAGAAGTTGGACAGACCAGTGACGTGAGCCAGGCCCTGGTACAGGACATCTAGTGGACAGCTGCTCTGCAAACCTGGGGCCCATAGGGTTGGTGGGGGGCCTCTGGACTGGGCGGGGCCGCCATGCCAGGGGCCAAGACCTGTGTTCTCAAGCTTTAGGGAAGCCCTGGAGCTCATGCCCTGCCACCACGTGGCTTTCCACTGAGCCTGAGTGCAAGAGGCCACGGGCTGGGGCGTGGGCAGCAGGAGAACAAGGCTGAGGGGCAGACGCAGAGCCCGCCAGACCGTCCCGCCGACAACGCTGAGGGGCAGACGCAGAGCCAGCCAGACCGTCCCGCCGACAACGCTGAGGGGCAGACGCAGAGCCAGCCAGACCGTCCCACCGACAACGCTGAGGGGCAGACGCAGAGCCAGACCGTCCCGCCGACAACGCTGAGGGGCAGACGCAGTGCCAGCCAGACCGTCCCGCTGACAACGCTGAGGGGCAGACGCAGTGTCCGCCAGACCATCCCGCCGGAGACTGACCCGCCGGAAACCGTCCCCCGGGGAGTGCTTGCATGCACAGTGAGCTCCAGTACAGACCATCCCATACAGGCTCCCAAGCCGGGGCCCCAGACTAGCATTAGGGTTACAACGGATAAACAGATGCACTGAAAGATGAGAGGATGGATGGGTGGATACATGAGTGAGTGGAATGATGTTAGATGGACAGATGGACAGAGGGAGAGATGAATGGATTGATAGACAAGTGGATGGATGGATAGGTGGATGGGAGGGTGTTAGGTGGGTGCGTAGGTGGGTGGTTGGATGAGTGGATGGTGATGGGAGGATGGATGGATGGAGGATGGATGGATGGATGGGAGGATGGATGGGTGAGTGGATGGATGGGAGGATGGGTGGGTGAATGGATGAGCGGATGGATATGGATGGATGGATGGATGGGAGGATGGATGGATGAATGGATGGATGGGTGGACGATGGATGGATGAGTGGATGGGTGGATGATGGATGGTTGGGTGGGTGGATGGATGAGTGAATGATAGATGGATGGGAGGAGGGAAGGATGATGGATGGATGGGTAGATGATGGATAGTTGGGTGGATGATGGGTGGATGGATGGATGAGTGGATGATGGGTAGGTGGGAGGATGAATGGGTGGATGAATGGATGCATGATGGGTGGAAAGAAGGCTGGATGGACAACAAGAGTGCACAAATGAAGGTGAATAGTGTAACTTGGCTAAGTTCAAAAGGAAAGTAGAACTGTTGACTCTTGACAAAGCCAGAGCCTTCCTGCAGTGACTCAGCCCCGACTCTACTCTGATCGTCTAGAGTCCTGCCCAGCCTGTCGCAGGCAGTGCTCGCGGTGCCAGGGGAAAGCCACAGAAGCCTCGGGAACATGGAACCGGTGGAGCAGTCCTCTGAGGCCTGACAGTGGTGAGAGAAGAGGGGGCCGGGGGCCTCACCCCCCAGTGGGCCTCCTAAAAGGGAGGCCGGAGGATCTGTCCACTCACAGAGCATCCTCAGGGCCAGACAGCAGCCAGCCTGCCAGGGGAGGCTGCGGCCTGCAGAGGGGCCTGGCCTCGCCACCTCCGGCCTGTGGCCAGCCATGGCTCCACCCCAGCTCCATTCACAAGGCCATCATTACAGGAACCAGGGTGAAATGTCCCCTCCGGCCTGCTCTATGCTGGGCAGCTTGTGGCTGGTCTTGTGGTGCAGGCAGGCGGTTCCGGGGCTACCTCACTCTGAGGAAGTCCCACACATTGTCCTCCAGTCCACACAGCCCAGCAAGGGAAGGAGAATGAGCCTCGGGCTGACTCCCACCCCTGGCCTCAGCTGTGAAGGGTGGATGGCTGTCTCCCCAGTCCTGGTGGGGATTCAGGGCCACATGCGTAATTGGCATGACACGCAGCCCGCGGCGACCCACGTTGTGAGTAGCTGACCCAGAGCCCCGGTCAGCAGGGCCCCACGAGGCCAGCCTGGGATGAGGAGGCTGGCTGGGCCTGCACAGAGCTGCAAAGCCACGAAGCCACAGAGCCTTCTGCCTCTCGGGCTCCCTTCCAGTTGGCCCGTGCCTGCCTCCCCGGGGAAGCCGGCCCTGGGGGGGACTTCTGCTCAGATGGGTGACACCGCTGGCCCTGTCCCAGAGGGCTCCCTGCCAGGCCGTCTACCAAGACAGGGTGGCTGGACACGGCCATCACGGGGCCCAAATGGTGCTCATTAGGATAAAATAACATTTACACCACCCAGCCCAGGTCAGGGTGAGCGCAGAGCACGAGGCCTGGGGAAGCTAGCACTTCTGCTCGCGTTTCGTTTGCACGTGGAGTCCTGAGGGAAGGAGGCTGTGTGGCTGGGCCCACCTCTGTCCTAGGTCCTGGGTGCAGGGCTTTGGTTGGGAATGGCTGTGCCCTGCCCTTTTTCCAGGCTCCCCGAATGGTTGGCACTCCACAGGGAGGGAGGGAGGGAAGGAAGGAGGTCTATGTGCACCTCAAGCTGGCCCAAGATCACGTGGGTCCCTCTCACTTTCCTCGGAAGGCAAGTAGGCCCTCAAAGGTGACAGGTCCAGCTCAGCTCCAGGTGCAGGGCTTTCTTATTTTCAAATGCTTTTAAACAACTATTATTTTGTGGGGGGGGAGGGATTCGGGGCAGGCATTCTACCGCCGTGGCCCATCCTCCAGCCTTCTGCTCGTGCTGTTTCTGAGAACTTTACCATGATCCTCACGCAGCTGTTGCACAAGCAGCTGGGGCTCCGGGGCCCATGTGTCACCACACTTGACTTATTGTTGAACCGTCTGCAGCCCCCGGCCCTGAGCCCTCTGACGCTTGCAGAGAACCTGGTTAGAGACGGGCCGTCGAGGACAGCAGACCCCCGCCTCGGAGCGGGGAAGGCGGTGAGGAGAGTCGAGAACAGCACCAGCCCCCAAACTCTGGCCTCCGGACACAGGTCAAGGTGGCCGCAGGAGATTGGGCCCTGTTATTACCAAGAAAGACCTGGCCCGGCACCACCAGGCCGGGCAGAGCCGAGTTAATCAGTGTGGCGTTACAGCAGGGCAGGAAGGGGCCTGAGGAAAACAGCCTTGTCCCGGGAGGAGACAGCTGGACATAGTGTTTGTTCAGAGATAAAATGATCTCCCCCAGGATCAGCTTCACACACATGCCCGGGCGGGCCACACTGCGGGGCAGGGGTGAGCGGGACCCCGGGGGCTGCAGCTGAGCAACGCGGGACCTGAGGGGCAGCTGATCCTCTAAGATACACACGGCCACCCTGACTCCAAGGCCGCCGCCTCCCGACGCTGGGTCTGAGCCAGACGCCCCTTAGTCTGTGCGGTGGTCTCTGCCAGGGCAGGGGCAGGCCCCGGCTCCCCACCATGGGGCCTCAGCCCAGTCCACCAGAGAGCTGCCCATTCCTCCTCCCAGCCTCTTGGAGCTCGAGGTGAGGGGTGCTGTTCCTGCCCCCCAGCCCTGCTCACCCATGGGAACCTGCAGAACCAAGCCTGCTCCCTTCCCGCTACTACCACTCGTCCAGGCCCGCCCCCCCCCGCCCCAGTGGAGCCTTCCCCAGGCCCCCGGGGGCCCTGCGTGCAGCAGCAAAGCCCGCCAAGCCAGGTCAAGGATGCCGGGCCCCCCAGCTCTGCCCTGCAGATAGGAGACAGAGCCGTCAGGCCTTGGGCTCAGGAGCCCAGGGTCTCCAGGGGTCCAGCCAGTGCAGAGGGACAGAGCAGGCAAGGCCGCCACCCAGCTGTGGCCGCTCTGGGATAGAGGCTTCCCCTGCAGCCTGAGATGCGTGGACAGCCCACGCATCACCACCAGGCAGGGCCCCGGCACCTGCGTGGGGGGGGGGGGGGCGGCAGCCTGGGGACCAGGATGATCTGGCACTAAGGTCATGCAGCAGTCAGGGAGGCTGGGGCCGAGAACCAGGGCCCAGGGCCTCCCAGGCAGGTTGAAGCTCAGGAGGGGAACATTGTGGGGACAGGCCAGCGGCCGGTGGGGGGAAACCCAGAGGCAGGAGGTGAAGTCACCCAGAGATGCAGGAAACCTGCGTGTGGTCCGGCTGGGCCAGGGCGCAGGGTAGGAAGGCCAGCCCGGGCCTAGTGTCGGCTACCGTACAAGCAGACGAGCGGGGAGCACAGGGGGCGGGGGGGCACGGGGGCGGGGGGGGCACGGGGGCAGGGGAGCACGGGGGCGGGGGGAGCACGGGGCCGGGGGGCTCGAGGAGGTGCAGGCACCAAGGCTCCGGCTCTGTACCCAGCCTCCCCCAGTTGCAGGCAGGCCACGGGTTCAGACAGAGCGGGGTGCACGGCCTGTCTCTCCACGCCGTGGCCAGTGGCAGACTCTTCCGCCACAGTCGGAAGGCTGTGGTCTCGGGGTCACCCCCACAGCACCCCACGACCTCCTGCCTCACCCACAGTGGGTGTTCAAGGCTGAGTCTCATGCTTTGCATGATTCACAATAACTTTTTAAAACAAAGCTCTTGACACATGGTCTAGTGTTTTCTCAGGTTATTATAGGCTCCAGCCTTCAATCTTAGCCACTCAGGAGGCTGAGATGTGAGGTGGCAGTTCAAAGCCAGCCTGGGCAGGAGAGTCTGTGAGATCCTTATCTCCAATGAGCCACCACAAAGCCTGAAGTGGAGCTGTGGCTCGAGTGGCAGAGCACTAGTGAAATGGCCAAGACTGGAGTGCAAGGCTGTGAGTTCAAGCTGCAGTACTGGTGCGCGCGCGTGCACACACACACACAGGCACACACACACACACTTCAAATAGACATTTGTCTAGTGAAGACACATGCCTGACCAACGGCACGCAGGGCTGGCTGGGCAGCAGTACTAACCACGCAGAACCACAGATCAAAGCAACCAAAACCTGGCAGCTAGCACGTGCCTGAGGGCGGGGCGGGTGCGTGGCGGCACAGCCCCGTGGCCGCCAGGCTCCCCGCGCACTAAACACGGACGCCGCACACTCAGTGCTGCTTTTTTAAAAAAGCAACAACCCGGAGAAAGGCGCAATCGCAGCAGGAGCAGGCCGTCCTGCGGTGGGGTCTGAACCCACCTGAAGGGAGCAGAGGCTGCGTGGGGGAGGGGGGGGAGGACACGAGTCAGCACGGCCGTCTGTACAACAGAACACATGGTGGGTGGGGTGACAGGGATGAGGGGTTCAGTGCAGGACCATCTCAGCCTGAAAAAGGAGACACTCTGGAGGTGAACAGAGGCAAAGGGCTCGCCTCGCCCCCAAACTGTGCACTTGGGGTCTGTATATTTAAAGTACAGCCAGAGAGGGTGGGGGGGAAGGGAGGGAGGGAGGGAGGGGAAAGAGAAAGAGGAGAAAAGAAAAGAGAAAAGAGAGAAGGTAAAAGAAAAGCCAAACAAGAAAAAAGGAGGAGGGAGGGAAGAAAGAAAAGGTAAGAAGAGAGAAAAGAAAGCCAAGGAGAAAGAAGACAGAGGAAGAAAGGGGAGAATGGAGAAGGAGGAGGCAGGAAAGGGAGAGCAGGGGAGGGGGCGGGAAGGGGCAGGGGCAGGCAGGAGGGCGGCAAGGGGTGCTAATGGGCGCCCATCTCCTGTTGGGTGATGAAAACTTGTGAAAATAGATA